AGAAGGAAAATAACGTTATTTTGCTCCTGTGGAACGCGACTGAGTCACGAACGCGGCTAAGTCCCACGTAGGGACCGGTAAGCCGAACCTAAAGCTATTTTTTGTAACACGAGAAAGTGACCAACTTTTGTAAGTGAGGTTATCATAACAGTTGTTGCGCATAGTTGAAAAAACTGATGTAAAAAATTGCTGTTAAATAAGATATCTTGCGTCAATGATCCGTTTTTAAGCGGTAGTGAGAAGAGAAATGAAGTGTAAGAAGTATGACTAAAGTACTATTGCAGCAGTTTAGGCATAGAACAATTTTCTAGACACACTGCCCGGCAACGGAGAACATTGATACAGTATAACTTCTACTCATTCTACAAATGTCTCTTAACTGTGGGAACGTTCAAATCGTCTGTTTGAAAAAGAAAAAAAAATCCTCTTCTTGACTGCTACTGTTCCTTCTTGACTGAGAGCATGAACATTGCTTATGGCTGGCCGTGGACTTAAAACTGACACGAGCCCGTCTCAACTGGTCGTAATTGTGAGGCGAACAAAGCGCCCACTGCCACCATACAGAAATGCGGGCGGCTGTTCAGCGGTATCGAAAATTGCAAGGAGTCAAGTCACTTCAAGAAAGGGTGACATGACGGCGGCGTAGTTACGAGCGTGGAGCAGGATCAAGGGTGGCCGGGAAATCGACAGATGCAACAGTAAGAAACGCTTTTCAGCCTGTGTGCTTTCTGCGTCAACCCATCTAGGCATCCGGTTGTAGCCTGGAATCCAATGTACATACCCACTCTGGAGGACTGGCCGAGAAAACAAAGTATCCTATCGACGGTAACTGCAATATTGCTTGCCAAAAAGTAAGATGCTATTAAAAAATCTAGAAAGTTTAAAACAAAAAATGGCAGCATATCCACGGAGTCAATGATGGAGAGTGGGGCGAAGCATTCGTCCGTCCATGCGTCCGCCTGTGTGACCGTCCATGCGTCTGTTCGTGCGCCCGTTCCTGCGTTCGTTCATGCATCCGCCCCTCCATCCTTTCATGCGTCCATCCATGCATCTGTCTGTGTGTCCGTTCGTCCACCTATTCAACACTCCAAGTCCCACCATCTCGTATCTTTTTATCATATATTCCCCATATAGATGCACCGCCATTCAGTGGAGATTCCAAGGACTAAACGAGAGGTGGCGCACGCACACTTTCTTACGGCTTGCGCTTCGGGTCTACTTCCCACCTTCAACCACCTTGAGTTCATGGTATATACTAGTTCGCTGTATTCAAGGCACTGCGGCCAAATGCTCGCTAAACCTTTCTAAAACCAAGGAGGTTACGCCCAGCGAGTATAACGTAGCAACCTTTTCCTGTCAGATAGTGCTCAATGTACATGCCAGTGGCTGCTAATGTGAAATGAGAGACAGGAGGATTCAGCTTTTAATTTCTTACGGCTTGCGCTTCTTATCTGCTCATTGTATTCATGACCCTGCGGCTCAACGCTCGCTAAACCTTTCTAAAACTAAGGAGGTTACACCCAGCGAGTATAATGTAGCAACCCTTTCTTGTCCGATAGTGCTCAATGTACATGCCAATGGCTGCTAATGGGGATCGCAGCGTGCGCGTTGACTAAAAGCCGAATGCTCCTGTCTCTCATTCCCCATTAGCAGCCATTGGCATGTACATTGAGCACTATTTTTTATTGTTAAACAACGCACTGAAGAAATCTCTCACCGGCACCACCTTGGAGGTCAAATGTTATACCTATTTCGGGTATGTGCCACTAGTGGTTACGTACTACGAGGGACGCACAAGCCACGCCATAAGGAGCTTCGCCCCTAAAAAACAAGAAAAGCATTAGTAATATAATAATAATAACCACACTTTTAGAGCCGACCAGACAGCTGAGTTTGTCAAACCCAATTAATTTGTGATGTATGTCTCATATTCATTCACATAATAAAATTACTTCCCGACTCCTTTCTTTTTCAAGAATTTGTTAATGTGGTCGTTATGTTGAAATTCGTTTAGAAGCTTCAATAAAATTAGACACCACATCAATGACATCTCTGTGGAAATGGCCCAAAAATGAGGCACTGAAATTTAGAACAAATTGTGTGGTTAAACCTAAACGTAGATTCGCAAATGGAATAGCTAGTAGTGCTTTCTTTATTACTGCGTTGTTTTGACACAATATAAAATAATGTTCAATAGTTTCCTATTGTTTCCTAGACCAGCTCTGCGTAAATAAAAATTTAATGGAAGTACACGGCACCAGAATCTGGAAATATTAACTTGAAGGTTTTCTGACTGAGTCCACTGAGGTTTCCATGAAAATTTGAGGTGCTGATAATCTGTCCATGTTGTGACACTTTCCAACCTGTCTGTAATATAGCTAATGTTCTATATCTAATCCGTGTTAGGTATTTCAACTATGGAAGTACCAAAATTATTGATCGATCAAGTGATGCATCCAGCTCATTTCATTGTATCGTGCAGTGACCTGGAACCCACAATTATTTCAGTAGTTTTACCTGCGCAAGTGCTAATGTGCGGAACGCAGCTAGAGCTCCAAATAGTTCTAAGGCTGTAAGAGCTGGACAAACTGAAAGTGAATCTGTTATGATGATTGCACTGGTTTCGTTCGAAGGAATTTTTCGAAAAGCACAAGAGCAGACATCTTTCGCGGAGAACCAAGAGATGCTGCTAGTATTTCTTGATTCGTTCTTTTTAGTCGTACTGCCGGATATTAATCGTTAGAATATGAAGCAAAGTATCTTGACTGCGCATTTGAAGACCGCCATATAGAAAGTCCCACATGTGTTTAACTTGTAATAGACGAGCGCGAAAGTTGAAATTGGACATTCCTGCAGAACTATTGGTGGCCTCTAAAAATTCTTCCAGGAGCACATATTCATATTTTTATTTATCTAGTTATAACCGGATGTCGCTGATATCTAATTCATATGTAGGTGGATGAGAGCTTTTAATTGTTATTGTCGCTTCAGGATGTTTCGACAATATATTTTCATTGAAAATGGAAATGCAATGTTCGTTAACAAAACAATGACTAGAGCACGGCACGGGCCCGGGCCAGTCAAGGCCCAGCCTAGCCCGCAGGCAGGGCCGAGCCCGGGTCCGTCAGCTCGTACTAGGCCCGGGTCTCATATGTGTCCGCATAGTGGCATGTGTACGATGTTCGACTTTGTTGTTCGAAGTAACTTTTGATTTCATTTTGTCGACTAAAAAGCTGACGCCGTCTAAAAGGAAGCCTACTAAAGCAATAGAATACACCTGACCCATGTGAAGTGACGTTAAACAAGGGCGATAGTCTTGTTGAAAATTGGCTTCATCTGCACCTTCCACATTTTCCTCCCCACCATTGTCACCGCTTTTTTTTTCTGCCACATACCTCATCCTTCTCCATAGGCGCTGCCACGAGCTGCAAACTTGCAACCACCACCGCGAGCCACAGATAGCCACACTACGCTTCTGTGTTCGCACTGGGGCCTTCGTCTAACAGCGAGTAGGCAACCCACTCTTGCGCTTTTGGTTCCTGAAACGGAGGGGGGGGGGGGGGTCGTGCTTTGGACACCCGACACGCCCTGTTGAACGGAGAGCGCTTAAGAAGCCGCCGGCTGGTTCACTTCGGTGCTGTGACAGAGGGTGTTTTTGGAAGCCCTAATGCAGTATCGCTTTAAGACGTACACTTTCAAAGATGGAATGCTGTTACCCGAAGACAACGACTCAGGCATCGTCAGGGAACAGCGAGGATGGTGGCTCGCTCGCTAACTGGTGTGGTTCGCTTTGACAGATCAGTGGCACTGTCGTGGAGGCGACTCGGGGGAAAAGGTTGGGTCAGAGAATATTCTCGTTTTAAGCTTGAAAACGCAGTGTACGTGGAGAAAATTGCCTGCCAAGGAGTCCACACGACAGTGTTAGTTTATGTTACGCTGCCCATCATGGTGTATTCCTCCTTTAAGCAGCTAGAGATTGCTTTTTTACGTTGCGTTGTGCAATAAATAAAGTTCCCAAGAGACTTCTTCCTTTACTCTACAGCCCCATCTCGTATGCAGTTTTCGTAGACTCAAAATATAAGTTTCTGCCATTTTTTTTCACTTTATGGGGGTATTCTACTTGATCGTTCTTTTTTTGAAACGCCAAAGTATTACCACTTCATACGTGAGACAGCCTTCACACTTCATACTTCATACGTGAGACAGCCTGTTAAGACTCCAGTTATGATTCATATTGCCGTGCAAACATTTGGAAGTGTTTCGGGCGTACTCTACCGGAAATATACACAGTGCCAAGGAAAGTCGTGACAATAAAAGAAGTTCTTAAAAATAAACTCTAAAAAATATCTTGTTCGCGGCAGATATACCTTCACAGAACGCGAAGATTGCATAGTACCTCGTTTATGCTCAAGGCGTAATCGGTTGAAACGGGCTGGGCCGGGCTGGGTCGAAACCTTTCGGGCGCGGTCCCTGAACGGGCTATGTTTAAAAACGCCGGGCCGAGCTCCGGAGGGCCGGAGCATGACGTTTGCGAGCAAAACCGGCCCGTGCAGTTCTCTAACAACAACACGTTTCAGTTTTCTACATGTTACTCTAACGAGTTTCTTTCGGACTAAAAGAACTTGTAACAGGAACTCTTTGTGAAATTATAAAGAAACGAGCAACCAGCATACGTTAAACTTTTATATGGACGCGTACAACGGTGACCCATGGTTCGCACCCATGCTGGGAGATATGCCAAGAGGCGGGTAGTTTCGCAAAACGTTTAATAATAAAAGTTGTACTGCGTCCCTGAAAATGTTGAAACTGATGAAGCAACAAATATTTAAATATTGCGAATGTATATATAGATAGCAATATCGGAACTTGTGCTTAGTGTAGCATAATCATCGTCATTATTTCTTCGGGATAACTTGGGTGGTGCACTTCTGAAGAAGAGGAGGAAGACTACCTGCGGACAGCCACGAAGCAAACGGCTTGCTTCCATTTCTCGCTCGCAGAAAATCCCCGCACCAGTGCGACTGCAGAACACTCCCCGTCCATCGTGATGCTCTCACCGTCCAACCGCAGCGCTGTCCAGCTCCCAGCGAACTCGGCGCACGAAGATGGACGTGGCGGCGTCATCGCGCTACCTCCTACTGCGGTACGTGCACTCGTATGCACAGTCTGAGTCTAACAAGCGCTAGAGAACCAACCGTAAAGACTGTGAAGGCTGTTAATTGGAAGTACAGTGATAACCGATGTCACTTTGAAGACATCGCGCTGGCGTTTTATACCTAGATCCATTATTTTTAGCACGAATGTATAGTTTTTTTGTTTTCGGTGTTAATGATTTCGCAAACTGATTATTTTGTTAAATATTCTCTTACCCGTGTGCATCTTAATTGTACAAAAATCAACTTAGGCCCGTTTTCACAAACCATCCTTGGCCTGACTTCCCGTATTCCTCAAGTTACTGCACTCTCTACGTGCGTTATAGGGCACATAAATGGTAACACTGTAAAAGATAACAAGATTTCTCCATGCATGCATAAGGGCCTACTTTGTTCATTAGGCGCAATAAAGGCTTGAAGCCGATATAGAAAACTTGAGGTAAGCTGGAGGTTAATTTGTCAATATGGTTCTTAGGCTTGTAGAACTGATCTCCAAGTGGCGTAGACTAACTAAATTTACCCTGTGCGCCCATTTCCTGCCGAAAGAAGGTTTTGCAGAGAACGGACTGCCACTCGTTATTTTACGCTTCAGTAGCCAAAGAATGCTTGGTGCACCTTTCATTTAAAACGGCTTTTGGAAGTCCGGTGTGTACTGCATGGCAGAAAATGCCCGATCCTAAGTGTGCAAGGAAAGCATTACTGTGCTCGTAAAAACTGTTACACGCTATAGTATACGTAGACATCACATGCGCATACTTTACTCTTATCGCCAACACACGTTGAAAATTTGGGGGCTCTTCGTTTCCGATAACCATTTCTTTTTGAGATATAACAGAGAAGTCTTGTTCGCAAGCACATCTTTTTTTTACTGTTCCACATTCGTGGTGACGAACATTTCTCGGTTTGTTCATTGTAATAAACAGAAGTACGGGGAGGAAGGAAATGCATCCATAAATAACAAATAACTATATTCTAGCACTTTCCAGTCCTACCACGTACACAGAAAGTTTGTCATCCCTGTCATAATTAATAGTAGAACTTTTACTGCAATATACACTGTACGGAGCGTCCTAATAGGACAACTTGATGAAATCGTTAAGACGCGATCTGCGTAGTATGTAACGTATGTAACGATGCCGTTTGTAACAGTGTCGCCTACGTATGAACACCAAATTTCGCATAGCCCACACGAGTAGAAGATGTGCTCACACGCTTTGTGCAATACCCAGCGTTAAAACACACGTGAAGCATTTGCAGTACCAGTGAGACCATATGAATTTTTTTCGAAACCGGAGGATTTCATGGCTGAAACAACATGAACTCAAACAACATCCATTCGCGCGAATGAAGCCATATTTAATTTCTTTTTGTGACGTGGTTTATTGAAGGAGCACTTTCTGGAAAGCCAAGAGACTCAAGGGTTTAGCATCGATGAACGGTGGTTTCCGTCAAGCACGCAAAATCTGGGCAAGCATAGGCTCGTGACTAAGACTATTACGGACACTGAAGCTCACCGGATAACTCTTGTGCTTCGTCATCGACCTTTCTTCACTACATTTCATCCATTCCCACGTTTCAGGCTCAGCCTGTGCCCGCAGCGACGCCCAGTGCCCCGCCGAGATGCCACGCGTGCAATGCGTGCCTCGGTGTGTGCGCCGTGTTACTGTTCGTGCTGTCGGCGCTGTTCGCCGGCGTGATGACCTTCCACACATTCCGGCGGGTCGAGTACGTCGGCAGGCTGCTACGGGACGTGGTCAACGAGACGAGGCGCCTCGATACGGACGTGGCTGCTGCTGCCGTCGATGCCAGCTCGTCGCCGCTACCGGCGCCTACGGCTGAACTAGGTCCCACAAGAGCAGCTGCTGATCACGAGGGCGTAGTTATTGATAACGGCACAAGCGCGTATCTCGGGAGGCTTCGCCAGTGACGAAGCGGTGCTATATGTAATTGCTAAATGAAATGCTGCATCGTGCATACTTGACGCTGTACTCAAGTACTCAATTAGATGTGAACACTGACATCCTCTGCACCCGTTATGGTACTCGAAAGCGCAAAAAACACGTACACCCGAAGAACTAGACAGGACCAGCGGTCCATGTACTTAGCTGTTGCAGTGTACTTTGTGAGTTTTGCATTTCTTAATGCCATCCCGAATCAGTACAAACTCTCCCGACTATCGGCACCTCTAACGCTAATCCAATGCGTCACCTCTGCCTCACTGCTTCTTTTCGAGCGGTTACTTCCCGTGATCGACCGACAGCAAACATGGTTACGAGTGCACGGAGGTGTCAAACAGCTTCATTGTTCGCACCATGGGTACACTCTTTTATAGCAGAGTGGCAGCGGTGCTGTCTTTCTGCACGCCTTGTGTTAACACTAAAAAATGTCATGGAAGCTTTACAGAAGATATGAGCATTTATGACAAAACGATTCATTAAATATTTGCTGATTTATTTATTTACAATACCTACAGCACCCGCATGGGCCATCAGTGTAGGGAGAGATAACATTTAAACGCCTATTTCACTTTCGAATCATGCCTCCGATCAGCAACTTCACGTGTATATCAATTTTATCATTCTATAGGTCCCACAGGCACAGCGAAAAAACGAAACAGGACACTTGCAGCGTAGGCCAAGCAAGAGTCGTGACTGTTCATTTTTCAATGCTTGCTGGCCGAGACTATCGGTCAGTAATCAGAAAGATTAGCAACCTAAGTAGCTTTGAAACCACGAAGTAAAATCGTTAAGGTCGAGAGCATAGCTCGACAAAATTGGTCCTACTTGAACTCGTACAAGAAATATGTTTTGCTCTAAGAACTCAACTCTCACTCACAAAAAAAAAAAATCTATATCCACGAAGTGATTGAAGATGAGTAGGTGAGGCTCCGGAGGCAATTCTGGTAAACCGTGAATATTCCGTACATTTCACCTACTAAAGGTGCATGTAAAGACGTGCCAAACACGGGGGTGGTACGCTGCATACACGACATAATGTTCTATTTCTGACCGTATATGGTACAGTGACACGCGGCTTCCGTTGACACTGCACTAAAACCACTTTGTGGTCAATCAAGTGACAGTGGTTCTCAAATCAAATGTAGTGTTAAGTTTGCAAAGATGTGATTGATGCAGTGTCCTCGCATAGTAGATGATAGAATTATATGCATCTGAGAGCATATCTAGAAGTGTTGTAGAATCGAGGTGTCGTCTACGATGAAGTCTCCCGTCAGTATGAATGGTTCCTTCTTATATGTGGTTTCATAATCTCGTAACACGATGTCCATGTACTTCATGATGTTTCCTTTGAATAGATTCGGTACCAGATACATTGTCATTAGGATGAATTTATTGGAGAGCTTCAAAGCGGCATACTCACCATAGTGCTGGTGAGTGGTAAGTGGTAATTCTTCGCTGTTTCGGACAGCTTGACGTAAATCCCAACACCACCCGCCGGACGCTCTTCTTCTTCAGTGCTGACAATTCGACTGAATTCATTTATTAACGGTTTTCTTGCACTCCACGTTTCCGTAAAGCAGAGTATGTCCACTGTGGTCAGTATAGGATATCTCTCGATGTCATCTGCGTAGACAATGAGAGATCGAACTTTGAACAGGACAATGGTAAACTTGGTCGAAGGGTCAACGTCTTGTCGCAATTCTCGAAGATACCACTGCCTTAGTGTCGGCACTGCCGCTAGCGCTTTTGTAGTTGCTCTCGCTGCGCTTTCTCTGATTCGTCTTCGGTAGGAGGGAAGGCACGCGTGGGAGTGGAGCGAGCGCCACAGAGTCACCTAGACGGTGCTCGATTACTAGCGTGGCTACGATGCGACAACGGACAAGCATCGACCTTAAGCAGCTTCACCGCAAATTTTTTGTCAGCTGGACTCGCTCAGAATAACTAAACTTTCACCGACTCAAGCTTACCAACTAATGATCAGCCTGCCTCACTCAAACTCAGACTAACGGCTTCAACTGAGTCTGGGTCAATCTGTGTAAGCCGAATCACGTGTTCACTGGCGTAAGATAAGCTTTCCCGTTAATGGTGTAAACGCTGTGTAATGAAATTATGCAAAAAAGCTAAATAAAAACACGTTTGTTGGGTGTAACTTTTTTCAATTATCAAGGACGTTTTCAATGGGTGCTACCATAAAGAATCATGACTAACGAAACAGCTCATTCATTCTTCTAAAAAGAATGTCAATTCACTAGTAAATCGTGTGGCAGCTCATGTAAATTTATTGGCCCTCCATATATTTATGCAGAGGTAACAAAAGAATTTGTTTCCTTTATCTCTCCTCTTTAAATGACATCCCTAAATTAGCCTAAAAAATTAAAGCTAATAGAAATAAGAGCCCTAGAAAATGAATGTACAAAGAAGCTGCTAGACAAACGCCACCACGGCAATTCATCTTTATAGTGTTTACAGCAAAAGCTCTATGACAGCACAAGAGCCGATTTTAGCGCCGTATATATATACTGTTACGCCATCGGCGGTGTCTGCAACTGCTATCGCGCGAAATAATAAAAAAAGTGTGTCGGATGAAACTTGAAACCGAACCTTCTGCGTGGCAGCCAAGTATTCAATCATATGAGAATGCCGTCGCTCGAAACGTGTTTACAAAAAAGACCCATCACCGAAATTACGCTCCCTCATGCAATGAGGACGGCCGGAGAGAAACCTGCCGGTGCGCAATCTTGGACGACATGACACTACACAATTACTTCTTTTTGGCCCCGTCACGTAGTCCTACGCACCTTGTCAAATTCCGGAATCTGGCGTTTAAATGAAAAATTTTCGATGCGCTAATGATCAAGCTTTCGTGCTACACTAAGACTTGCCACGCAGCATTTTCACACTGCGGTTGTTACTCAGGTTTACTGTCCAGTCTCGCTTCATTTACCGGCTAACATTTCCCGTCAGGTGTAGGCGTCATAGCTTAGTTCTTTAATAATTAATGCTTGACGGTTTCGTTCGTAGTAACCTAATCACCACAATACTTACATGTGCCGGCGACTGGGCCGTGCTTCGTCGGAACTACGTTGCATGCGATGGCTTAACAGGACCGCGCCGCTCCGCGATGCGGGTGCTTTAAAGCGCTCCCTATCAATCGCTGACGCCTGCACCCGCTAAGCTGTTGGCAAGGCGCAGTGTTTATGCCACCACAGAGGCCACAAGGCTCTACCGCCTTATGACCTATAGGATAAGGTTCGTCGTGGCTCAAAAACGAGGCGTTTTCGGGAACCATAACTTTGAAGCCTTGGGCGAGAAAATGCAGTGGTTTTCACGTAGCTTCCAACCAAAATAAGTGACGGGTAATGAAACAACTGTGAATTCCCGCTATCAATGTGCTGCGGCGTACAATATATAGGAATAATGGTTGTCTTATAAACATAACAAAACGTTAGGCGGGTGCACAGTAGTTTACGTTCATATTTTTTAAACTTGCGTAATGAGTGATGATTTATGCAAAGAAGAAATCCTATAGGCTGAATAAATGAAAGTGCTTATTTATGGGCGCATTTTCTTCTTTGTTAGACTCAATATTAATGAAAACTAGTACACTATAACACCAAGAAAAGTACAGGGGGTGATATTAGAGTTAATTTTAATGCAAATGTGAGGAACGGCAAGTGCACGAAAAGATAAATATGCCACTGGCAGGGTCCGAACCTGCAACCTTCGAACAACACGTCCAACGCTCTACCGCAGAGCTGTGGTGGCGTCTATCCCCTCGTTCACTTTAGAAAGGGTACATTTGTGCGTTTAAACGTGGTAGCGTCAGCCGGCAATATACATGTTATAAAGTGGATGGTAGGATGACCGCCACCGTAACTCAGTGTTGGAGAATTGGAAGCGTTCTTCGAAGGTTGCAGCTTTGGATGCTTTGAATGCTGCCAGTGGCGAGTTATCCTTTCGTCCACTTTTCTTTGTTCGCATTTTCGTTACAATTACTTTTACGGTGTGGCTAGGGTTACGTCCAGACGTAACTGTAAACACCGCCATCGTTACGTCCAGACGTAACTATAACCAGCGTTATCGTTACGTCCAGCCGTAACTATAGTCAACAATAGCGCTACGTCCAGACATAACTTCAGCCACTGCTTGTGTTACGTCCATGGTGCCACGGTGACGTTTGCATCTTCTACGGTAACGTTTGGCACTGCCGCTCGCTGAATTAAGCGGTCATAAGCTCAGATTCACTGGTTTACCGAAATCACTTGTGTGTTGAAAGCTGCGTCATTTATTGTGCTGGACTTTTTCGCATATCAGCAGCTATATTGAGACAGACCAGCTGACTAACTTTTGGAAGACGTAGCCGGTAGCACTCTAGTGTATCGGGTGCTGCCTTTGCATTAGCTTCTTTGAAGCACTCAACAAGGTAGCAATCATGGTGGAACCCTGGTCACACCGCGGTTAGTGGTAAACAGTGGCTCTCCGACTGGATGCAAGTACGGTTCGCGTGCCCTTTCCGGTGGTGGTGGTGGTGGTAGTGGTGGTGGTGGTGTTGCAGCAGGCGGGGTTCGCCTGGTCTGCATGGCGAGCGATTGTTCCGCCTGAGTATCTCCTGAATTTGGAAAATGTCACCACGTGTCAGACAGCCCAGTGTCTCGCAGGAACACCAACAAAATTCGTTGCACGTTCTTCTTACTTGCCGCGGGTCCTTCAGGAAAGATGACGTCATCAACTGTCCGGTGCCTATAACAGCCTTTTCGCAAGGTGCGGATCATCGCTGCTCTTTGCACATAAAACTGTGGGCAAATCCAAATGAAATGTTCAATATCCCCGATGTCACCACAGAAGGCACAGAACGGGGAAGCGTATCTCACAGTCTTGAATGACCAGGCCGGGGTGTATGCGGAGCCGGTTCTTATGCGGTACAACAGCGTCGTTTCTTCACGAGAAAGTCCATGAATCACACATGCCT